CATGTAAAAACAGTGCAAAGTAAATTGCACACACGCGCGATGTGTGTGTGCGTGGACTTAATAACATTGTGCGTGATTCATCGTCACAAAAAAGCTTGAATTGAACCTTTTCTAAGCCCCGCCTTCCTTAATTACTCTTGCTACGCCTGTCAAGCTTTCGTGCCTGGCCCGTCTATTACAATATGTATGTGTCGGTCTCAGACATTGCCAGGTGTAATTTTTATTATTAATTATAATTTATCATTTTTAGCAAACAGGTAAGATATCAGAGAAAGCCAGACAAAAAAAAAGAACTGCAGTATGCATTACAATTTTCATGACATAATAGCAACCTATTAGAAAATAATTTAATAATAATTTAAGCTAGGTTAGCCCAGACACCTTGTACGCTGATCATTTAACAGCTTAGTTCATGCACAGCAGGAGAGGTGACATTAAAAATTAATCTAATAATAACTAATTAAACCATGATGTCTCTATTTTTAACCAAAAAGCCTGAGAGACTATTGTTGTGCAAAGAAATGTAGGTTTACTAACCGACGAGGAAACACGTATGGATAGTGCTTCTACATAATTCATTCATAGAAAAAACAGTCAGAAAAGGGAAATTGTGGAATTTTTGCCAGATTTTTGCATCATTGCCCATAACAATGTACAGTAAGTCACCTATAACTGTCAGCACACTGTTAAAATTGGACCTTAAATTTGTCCTTAAACATATTACTTCATATTTCCATGTTGACCTCATAAGATTAAATAAATGTGCAGTACAATCAAAAAGATGTTGGTAACCAAATTGTTTTTGGGGCGGCAATAACATTCTGTTATTTCTTAATATCCAAAAAGTGCCAATACTAGCATAAAAGTTAATTTGTATTATTTCTATGTTAAATGAAATAACAAAAGTTAAAATTCCTATAACTAATGTGTAGCCCTTTTTACAGTAGTTTGCTGTAATCATCTACCTGCCTTAAATTCACAATAAAATTATGAATACTACATATTACTGTGAGTTTTCACAATTAAATACTGTGAAGCGATACTAATGTCATTTACTGTGAAAAATTACAGTAAATTGTTGTGAAAATCTGGACATTTTTAGTGCATGCTTGTGTGCTCTTTATCCAGTTTCCATTGTAATTTGTAGTTAAGTGGACAAAAATAAATAAATTGAAATGTAAATCAAAGTATAAATAGCAGAAGTAAACAAACAGATTTTCCCTACCATCAAATATTAATCAGACACCAAATATAAAAACAGTCACTAACCCGCTATAACGTCGTCACCAATGACTAAATCTCCAAAAACAGATGAAAACATTGGTGAATTGTTGCTCTGACATGGACATGAGGGATATAAATTACTGAAAAACAGCTGTGGGTGAAGTATATTGATTGCAAGTGCTCAGTTTGTGATCACATTTGGGTTTTGTTTTGTTGACAAGTAATTTCAAATATTCATAGCTTAAAACGAATGTAAATATGATTGCTATTAGTATGACTACTATGGCGAAGGCTTAAACGGAGCAGTGCTCGTAATATCTAGCGAAAAATAAAGAAAAAGACAACTGGGAAATGACAACTGGGAAATGACTGGGACAGACCTCCTGAGTGTAGCTATGGTTGCTAAGCCACGATTGGTGGGTGACGCTTTTTGGGTGTAGCTTTGCGAAGGATCAATTAACTCCACAACAAATACATAAAATTCTCATTGGTAAAGTTCTTACTGTAGTATTTCTCACAAACGTTACATGAGATTTGCTTCCTTCATGTCTGTCACTGTGCTGTTAATCTGACAAAGTCGAGGTAGAGTTGAGCCACACTTTTTGCCGCTTTTCCACTATCGTGCTGAATCGTTCTTTAAACAGAACTGTTCCATTACGCGCCAAACCGGGCCAGACAGCACGGATACGGTTTCATTTTCCACTGTCGTGCTGCGACAAAGCTCTTTAAAACATTACACAAAACGCATCAGTAGTTGCCTTGGTAACGCAATGTAAACGGCTCCCTTTGTTCAATTAAAGTTAAATAAGAGCCGAAACTAGGTTTTTTTTTTCATAAAAGCGAAAGCAACCATGTGACTAAACACTGTTATGCCCTCTATCAAACAGGGGTGCTAAATATTTAATATATTTTATATTCCTAAAAAGTCATATTTAAAAATAACTATATGAATATGAAAGCAGATAGCACATTTTTTAGTAAAACAAGTGAAATGAACCAAGTCAAAATGTTCATAACAAAAAAACAACAACAATAATCATAATTTATAGATGCAAACTGACACTGAAGCATTTTTTGTACTCTTAAACACTCGTTCCCACAAGACAACCATGTAGCACAATTAGCATATGACATCATATTTGTAGTGAGGTGTTGAAAAGATACAAACAGTGTCTGTTTTTCAGCTGTGCGCCTGCTGTGGGGTGTGGGCCTCTCTTGACAGTCAGAGGCCCTGCTGACCCCATCCATAATCCATCCTCACACATAAATGCTGATATAAGCTCCACAAAGTCCACACGAAAGAGATCACTTAGATTTCTAAGAGCCGATCTGAACAATAATTGACACAAAGTACAAGTTGCTCCTCTAACTCCTTTTAGCTGACGGAGTGTCATGTGTTAATATTAAAAGACATTAAATAACCAGCAGAAACTTTAATCTCCTCTAAATTGAATGAAAGTGCCGTAGTGCTATTTAAATTTAATCATTTTTATTTTCAAAAAGGAAAAAAATAGTAATGACTAAATTAAATTAAATTAATGATTAAATTAAGGAATTAATTCATGTTATTACTTAAATTTGAATAGGGAGCTGGGCTTTCGTTTTGTGCATCGTTCCTCTGGGGGCTCCGGTTTTCCTCAGTCCAAAGACATGCACTATAGGTGAATTGAATAAGTTAAACTGGCCATAGTGTTTGAGAATGTGTGTGAGAGAGTATGTATGGGTGTTTCCCAGTAATGGATTGTGGCTGGAAGGGCATCTGCTGTGTAAAACATATGCTGGATATATTAGCAATTTATTCTGCTGTGGCGACCTCTGATAAATAAAAGGACATATAAAGAAAAAGGAAAATTAATGATTAAGTCAATATTGAAAGATATAAACTCACTTTTGAGAAATAAAGTCAGAATTCTAAAAAAATTAAGTAACAATTACATGATAAAAAGGGAAAATTCTAGGGTATAAAGTTAGAATTTTAACTTATATCTCGCAATTCTGAGATTTAGTTGCAATTGCTTAATATAAATTCACAATTGCGATTAAAAAGTGAGAATTTTGAGATTTAAAAAATCACATTTGTGAGTTATTTAGTAGTTTCCTGTTGTAGAGACAGACCTTAAAGACGTATGCATGGATGAATTGCGTTAAACTATAGAATACAGAAGTAATAAATAAATCCGATATTTAGGCTTTTAAAGGGGATTAACCAGCATAAAGCCTGCACTTAACAGCCACTTTAATAGGTACACCTGTCCAACTGCTCATTAGCGCAAATTTCTAATCAGCCAATCACATGGCAGCAACTCAATTCGTTTAGTGACACCTAAGAAAGGTGATTTAAGGGACTTTGAAAATGGCATGGTTGTCTCTGCCAGATGGGCTGGTCTGAGTTCAGAAACTGCTGATTTACTGGGATTTTCACGCACAGCCATCTCTAGGGTTTACAGAGAATGGTCCGAAAAAGAGAAAATATCCAGTGAGCAGCACTTCTGTGGGTACAAATGCCTTATTGATCCCAGAAGTCAGAGGAAAATGGCCAGACTGGTTCCAGCTGATAGTAACTCAAACAATCACACATTACAATAGAAGTATGCAGAAGAGCATCTTTGAACACACAACGTCCTTGAGGCTGATGGACTAGCAAAAGACCACAGCGGGTGCCACTCCTGTCAGCTAAGAACAGGAAACCGAGGCTTCAATTCACACAGGCTCACCAAAATTGGACAGTAGAAGATTGGAAAAACGTTGCTTAGTCTGATGATTCTCTATTACTGCTACGACATTTGAATGGCAGGGCCAAAATTTGGCATGAACAACATGAAAGCATAGATTTATCTTACCCTGTATAAATTGTTTCAGGTTGGTGGTGGTGGTGGTATAATAGTGTGGGGGGTATTTTCTTGGCACACTTTGATCCTATTAGTACAAATTGAGCACCGTGTCAACGCCAAAGCCTACATGAATAATGTTGCTAACCATGTTCATCCCTTTATGACCACAGTGTACCCACCATGTCATAAAGCGAGAATCATCTCAGACTGGTTTCTTGAACATGACAATGAGTTCACTGTACTCAAATGGCCTCCGCAGTCACCAGAACTTAATCCAATAGAGCACCTTTGGGATGTGGTGGAATGGGAGGTTCGCAGCACAGATGTGCAGCTGACAAATCTGCAGCTACTGTGTGATCCTATCTTGTCAATATGAACCAAAATCTCAGAAAATTGTTACCAGCACGTTGTTGAATCTATGCCATGAGAATTAAGGTAGCTCTGAAGGCAAAATGGGGTCCAACCCGGTACTATGAAGGTGTACCTAATAAAGTGGCCGTTGAGTGTAGCGCCAGGCAGCATACAATTAATTTCCATTCCTCTCAATGATTTCATTTACTTCACAGCCTGCAACTGTCAGAAATCAAATCAAAACAAAACAAAAGGCTTCAACAGATATATAAGAAATTGCCTCTGGAATTTAAACAGAACCACTCTTTTTGCCCAATCTATCTAGCTTTAAGATAATTATATAAATATATTCACAGTTTAACACGACTAAAAAAATCTGGAGACATAAATAAAACATTCCTGAAATGTTACAATTGTTTTAACTCCACCCTCACAGCGATCCCATGTTGCAAAGCCCTCCCAGTGGAGTGTGTCATCAGACTCCACCCACTTATGCTATGCGCTGATTCCCCGCAGAGCCGCCCTCTCTCAGTCATCTGAATGTGTGTGTGTGTGTGTGTACTAGAGAGAGAGAGAGAGAAAGAGAGAGAGAGATTAGCTCTTCTTCCTCCAGCATTAGGGCCGAACAGTGAGGTGTCAGCGAGCGCATCCGGACACAGGACAGCAGAAGCAGCTATGGCCCTGCTCGATCTCGCCCTGCAAGGCTTCGCCATCTTCGGCTTCCTCTTATTCCTCGTCCTCTGGCTCATGCACCTCGTGTCCATCATCTACGTGTAAGTGAATGAGGTTTTTCATTGATTTCTGATGCGATGCACTGATCGCGTGCTGGAAATGCAGCGCCGCAGATCTCGAGCTCGTTCATTGTGGGTTTGTCGCGTCGCGTCGTTTTGCTTGCAGTGCAGATTGGGGTGAGCATTTGAGTCTGGCTAACAGGAACACAGGTTTCCTCTTCACGCCCTTTAAAACATATGTACATGTACCAAACTGTTCACGTCGCAAGATGACGGAGGAAGAGCTGTATTAATATTTATTTCAATCATACACACGTTAGCCTTTGGCTAGTCGCATATTAATATCGTTTCTGATCGCTAGCGATGATGGTTAGCTTAGCTGCTGCGCACTGTCTTGTTATTTAATTCTTTAGTTTAAGAAGTCTAATGGGTTTAAAGTCACTCGGGGGGTCATTCCTCAAAGGGTCTGTCATTAAATTTAGCCCAGTGGGAGTCAAAGCTGCTCCTGCTAGCTTCAATGGACAACCGGCTTTTGTAGTTTAAATGGTATATAGTTGTAAATAAAGGAGTTTTGTTTGGGTAAATCGTGGTTTGAAAGTTTGTTGTTAAATAAATTAAATAGTTTACTGTGTATGCTTGTTTATTGTTCGTAATGTTTGTATGTAGCCTAGTATCAACTAGATCTGCCCATCCCATCTGGTTAGCACACATATTTGAACATAAACTAGTCATCAGGTTAATTATTAATGCCATTTTTTGCAGATCATGTATATGTTTTGAAAACATAAATATTTTTTATCTCTGCTTACAAAGGCTTTGTTTATTTGAAGTCTTATCAGAAATGCAATAAAACATAATTATTCTGAAATATTGTTTCTATAAAAAGGTTAAAAATAAATCTATATGAATTAAAACATGAAATTGAATTTTATTCATGTTTTTAAAAACTGAATTCTCTGCAGTCACTAGTTAGTTTCAGTGTTGCATGATCCATAAGTCATGTAAAACAGCTGTGGTATTTTTGCAGATGCTGTGACGTATTACCAAATTTAAAATGCATTTAGTTTATTTAAAAAAAAGAATTATTATTCAATAAACCGACCAGTAGTTCTTGATTATGCTGTTATAGAAGATTTCATTTCGAGTTACATTTAATTTAGTTTTGTTATTTTGTACTATTTATTAATCAAAATTAATTTCAAATATGAAAAAGAAGCAGGTTAAATTTGATCATAAGAAACTAAAAATTGACCATGAAATGTTATAGAGCATAATAAAACTTTAAAATATTTTCTAAAGGGGTGTCACAGTAGCGTGATCACCTCTCAGCAAAAAAGTCACTGGTTGGAGCCCCAGCTGGGTCAGTTGGCATTTTTGTGTGGAGTTTGCATGTTCTCCCCTTGTTCGCATGGGTTTCCTCCAGGTGCTCCAGGGTCCCCCACAGTCCAAAGACACGTGTTACAGGTAAATTGAATAAGCTAAATTAGCCTTAGTGTATGTGTGTGAATATTTTCTGAAGGATCATGTGAGAGAGACACCAAAGGACTGGAGTACTGATGCTGGATTATCAATGCATTTTAAATGATTTATTTTAATAATATTTAAATCATTTACAAATATAATAGTTTATTTAAATGTTAATAATATTTCACAAAATGTTTATTTCTCTTATATTTTGATCAGATTTTACCAAGCAGAAAAGACTTCCCTTTCCTTTTTTGTAAATCACGCATTCTTCAGAAGTGAATTCGGTCAAGCGTGTCTCATCTTCTGACTGGTGGTGTAATCATATGATACTATGGCCACATAATGAACCGAACTTTAGTTTCTAGGGAACTTAGGGTTGACACTTTTCTCCACCTGCAACAACAGTGTGTCATGTGATTCAGCTTGATCTCACTCATGCTCTGATTCTTCTACAGAAACTAGGCTTTTTGTGTTCATGTTCGCTATTCTAAGTCCCATCTTCATTGTCATGTCTGTCTTGCTGGATTGTTTTTGTACATTTGCAAACTCCCAAATGATGTGTGGATGTTCACCCGCTGATGCAAAAATTGTCCAGGATCTGGTGAAAGTCATCACGTGTCAGACGACTCATTCAAACGAGTCTCGAGACGTCAGCTCTCTTTTGAAAACACAACATCATGTGTTTTGAAATACTACTTGTGACATACTGTAATGTTTTTGGTCAGAACAGCTCTGTGGCAATTCGAGCTTTTGTTTTGGGAATCATTTTTACCTTTGGACATGCTCAGCAGTTTGAAGGTCTATTTTTAGATGGAAAACCGGTCAGTTCTAAGAAGATTTTAAGACGCTGTGCACTTAGAAAATGGTGCGTTTTCATTTGAGGCTTTGGAATGAACAGCAGCTCTTTCTGAATGAACTGGGTTTTTTAATTTATTGAAAGATGGCTAGATTTTAATTGGGTTCTATTTTTTTCTTCGTGTGCCTTATTATGGTCTGGTTTTGATGTTCATCATGGGCTCAGTCATGATGTTACCCTCTTTTTTTCACCAACATGAGGTCATTCATATTGATCTATTGCGAGACTGAAACAAAAGGGCTAAATTTTATGACCAGCTTGAAATCTGGGGTCCACTGCTTTCTTCCTAACAGGTTTCCCAAATTATGGGATGCACAATAAAACATCTAGTATTGCCATAACAAACTATGTAGCCATTTTTAATTTTCAAAATGCATCGCTGTTCTCTACTTGAAGTTTGAGCATGCAAAATTCTGTTGGACGTAGGGATGCAACGATTATAGATTTTGATTTTACGATTATAGTCTGAGGAATAGGCATGGGACTATAACTGTTTTCAAGGTACCCCGGTTTGGAAAAGTCAAGGTTTTAAAACCGACAACATTTTCTGTAATACCATGGTTTCCCCTACAATTATTCTTCCATGGCGGGGCGCCACACCAAAATTGATCCCGCCACGACAACAATTACAGCTTTTCACTTTTCAGTTGTGTTTTTTGTTTTTTATTGCGGGTGATAACGCACCAAAACTTATTAAAAGGTAAGTGAATTATAACAGCGCAAACTTTTCTGTAACTTTAGTAGTGCTGTGCGTCATTTGTTTAACCCTTTAAGGTTACATGCTCACTGGCTGACTGACAGGTGCATGATGCGTGAGGCCAGCAAACACGAAGTATATATTTCAGGAGGCATTAAAACCGCTCTTTAGGTCTATTTGAGACATTCATAAATATTCCTAGCATTTCTTATAAATGTTGGAGACATACATGTTACATGTACGTGCACTAAATTGCATTTCAGCAGCGTTTATTTGAGAGCGCATAAGAAGATCTGCGCTTGAGCGGCGTATATTAAAGGGAGTGCAAGAAGTTTTGTGCACGAGCAGAGGAAATTGGCACGCAAGCAAAGAGATTTGCATGCTCATAGGCTATTACATAAATACGATCTTGACTTGTAATAATGCGCACTCGACATTTGTCATTGAAATAACGCCACAGGTAGTTGGTAGATCAGTGTAAAACAGGCCTGCCGCCACAGCTGGAAAAAATCCTAGAGGAAACACTGAATACTATTCCTAAGGTATGTGTTAGATTTTTTTATTTACTTTTTTTTGGTTTGTTTTTTTTAGGACAACAGTATCTCCAGTTAAAAAGATATCCAAAGATGCCGTTTTAAATTGTAAAGAAATCAGTGTTTTTGAAACTAATAAAGAGTGCAGAAGTCAATGATTTATTTTCATTATTTAACCTGATATGTTTACTGCTTCAAAATACTTTAAATCTTTTAAAAAATAAAATATATTGTTTTCGAAGTGGGGAAAATGGTTGTTTTTTACTCTAACATTTAAAAAGAATATATTTTAGTGCAATAATCACAATACCGTGATACCGTGATATTTTTATTCAAAGTTATCATACTATCAGAATCTTACACCGGCCCATGCCTACTGAGGAATAATCACAGTTTCATGGTTAACGCGATTATTATGCATTCATTAATTCAAAAACACTACTAGTTTAGAAAATCATATGAAAAATCCTTTTATTTTAAAGTTTTATTTATTGCTGCTCAGTAACCAATTATAACAGCACAAAAATAATATTAAAAACAAACAATAGTCCATTTCTCTTTTGACTTAAAAATTTGTGAAAAGTTTTTGGCATTTAAACCCAAGTTATAATTTTACACTGAATATAAATGACAAAACAATCAATAAATAAACAAATAGTATTTGTCTAATGTAAGTCTAACCTACATATTAGCTAAGTATTTCTCTTTTAAAGAGAACAAATGTAGTCAAAGGCTGCTGAACCCCTGTCTGAAAGGCACTTTTGGTCAACTATATTGCAATACTGTTTGGGATATTTTTTTTTTGTATTTTCTTTTTGGCGGAAAAATGTCTATATTCCTAACAAAGTATGAAGCTGATCAGTCAGTTCTTGTCACGTGACTGACTTGCAGTGAGGCAGTCTTTTAACTGCGCGAACCTGCTTGCACAAAAGACATGTTATGTGAATAGCCCTTAGTTAATAGCCTCAGCCATAGTTTATCCACTGTGCATGGGTATTAGCCTTTGTGTAAAAGCTTGGAACTTTAAACTAGCGCACAGTTGGCATAACTTTGTGTAGTTGCAGCAGTTTTATTCCATGCAGAAATGTAGTGTTGAGAAGCCTTTATGATTAATTTACTGACAAATTAAAGCACAGTTAATAGTGAAATAAGTTAATCATTGGATTCCTAGTTGTTTCGAAAAGAGGTTGGATAAAAAAAGACAATGTGACGTTGAATCACATTAGTGATTGCACCATATTTACGTTTTTCTACAGAGAAGTTACGTTTTGATCTTCGGATAATCTCAACACACATACGTGATGTGAATTTGCAGATCAGAGTTCACTTGAACTTTGTAATGTAGCCACATCTGTAACTTGTCGCACTAGCTTTTGTTTCTGTTTTAGCACATTTCCTACAATTTGGCTAATCAAATTCAATATAACTCAGACTAAAAAATGTGCAACAATGTGAATGTGTCTGAAAAGCTTAATATTATTATTATTAT